TTTAAACCAAACAATAGGAACAAGCAAGTTAATGAAGTTTACTTTGAGAAAGCCGGTATTTTTCAGAGCGGAAACACGTAGTATTTGCTTACTTACATGCGTTGTTAGACTTTCTTTTGTCAAACTCTTTACATTTTATGTTAACTCCATTTATTTACACTAACAGTAAAAAATCAAATAAAGGCATAAAATGTTTCGTGAAATTAAACACTTGAGGTTAGTTTACCAAATTCGATTCTTTTTCTACGAAAATAAGATTAAATTATCTGTCTCAGTGAAATCTAATCTGAACAAAAAATAATCATCATCATCACCAGCTCACTACATGTCCCCACCAAGGGGCTAGGAGCCTACTCTAAGTTAGGGGTGACTAGGCCTAATGCGGGTTGGTTGACACATATCTTTGAATTTCTTCGCCGATATGTACAGGCTGCATCACAATGTTTTCCTTCACCGTAAGAACGTCGGGTAAATTATGTACATTTGAAAATTCGAAAAATCGAAATACACATTGGTATATAGCGGGATTCGAATCCAAGACCTGTAGATTACAAGTCAAGTGCTTAAACCACTGAGCCACCGACGCTCTTTTTAATCAAAAATTATTGCTAGTTTCCCGTTGGGCCGATGGTTCCACAGTTCGATTGACCCATGGGAGTTTTACCCATTGGCTCGATCAAATACATCAATACTGAAATATCTTAGGTCCAAAACCGGCCTTGAAAATGTGACGTTTTTTAAACTAATTAATATAGAGGTACGAAAATTGTGTGTATGTAGCCTTTACCGAGGGATTAGACTTTAGCATTTAACTGTTTTGTTTTTATGCTGAAAGTGTTTGCACCAAATTTTATTTTATTTTCTCTCGTACAAACACTATTAATGTAGCATGTTGTATTTATTTCTAGAGAATAAAAGTACTGTGGACTTCTTTTACAAAGTGGCTTTTAAAAGGCTGTCAAAGCATTTTGACCCGTACCAGTGGTATAAAAAGTAAATAATTGTTCAGTCATTGGCAATCGTTTAAACTATATGGTATAGGCGGAACTTTCTTAATTACCAAAGGGAGTGGCTCTTAAGGATAAAAGTTTTAATCCAGGGTTAGTACAACGATTACACACTGCTTAATTCCGCCCAAATCCGGTATAAACCAGTGTAAGCTGGTATAATTTGCGAGTTGTCACAACCCGGCTCGCTGGCTGGGCCAAGTTGGAAACATTTGTTGCAGGATCATCTTGATTAATTGGAACACTTTTCGCTTTACATTATACCAATGTTTATATTAAACTATGAATTATTTAACGAGTCGTTGTGTAATCTATACTATTATTACCGAGAGCAGAAACAATTTCAAATTTAAAATCAAACCAATGAACGCTATTCTAGGAAGTTTGAAAGTATACCAAGTCATTATAACCCTCTTTATCCTACTCTCGTAGGGTCGGCGCAACAGGTTTTTGTCCTCCAAATAACTCTATCATACTTCATCTTAGCCTTCACTACCTTTTTGATCATGTTACCTTTCACGCAATGCATCCATCTTTTTCTAGGTCTACCTCTACCGGTGTACCCATCCACACTCATATCTAACGTTCTCCTTGTAACATGCGATTCATCCCTATTTATAACATGCGCAATCCATGCTAACCTTTTACTCCTTACCTTCTCTACTAATGGGGCTACTCTCAAACCAAGTGATAGCGAAATCAAAGACTAAATGGTCAGCATGGTATGGGCATGTTATGAGGAAGGATGAATCACATGTAAGGAAAACGTTATAAGTGTGGAAGAACACTGGTAGTAGTGTGTGGAAGATAACACCTTCAAGAAGAGACTGATGACTTAGATGACGGAAGATGGATTTACTTGGAGGTCGTAAAACTGCGACCACGCTACGGGAATAGGGTAATGGGGAAGGTGGCTAATCATCCTTATCCTATTCATTTTTTTTTTCAGCAATACTAATACATTAGAATATACTTGGAATGATAGCGATAACAGATGTGTAAAGTATATAAAAACGTGTTCCCTCATTCATTTTTTACAATAAGACTGGTGAAATAGAATGTACCAGAGAGAATTACAAGCATCAGTTTCGAGAGTTCCGAACTGTACGTGTGTTAATTAATATGCTAATCCTGCTCCCAGCATTCCATCGAATACGGAGCTGTTAACAAAAAAAAATATCGTGCAATAAAATTACTACTGCCACTAAATTGGACATTTGAATTTTCGTGTGCGTTTATAATTTTTTTTATTAACTTTCAAATTGTAAAATCTTGATGGAATTTCGTTATGCATTGTTATTTATGTTTTCGTCCGTGATTTCCTCCGCTTGTAATTAAAAAAAAAACAAGAGTAGCCTATGTTTTCTTCCTTTAAGTCTATCCCAAATTTCGGCGATATCCGTCCAGCCTTTTAGGCTATACAGTCTTATAAACAGCCATCCTTCTATCCATCTAAACTTCCGTATTAATAATATTAGTGAGATTGTTAATTTTATGTTTTATTTCAAGCAAGACTTCTAATCTTGCATTACTCTATGGTATAAAGTATTTCGCATTATCAAAGTAATAGTTTAGTGTAGAATTATATAAAGCAACGCAGACTGTTTACTGAAAATTTTACATTATATTTTATAATGTTCAATTATTTACGAGTATGCTGTAAAATATACTTCCGAGATACATTTTAGTGTCACTGAGGCAATTATAATGTTCAGCATTTTATTAAGGACGTGTAAAATGCCACTTCAAGTGGTGCACAGCGGGTCTGGCAAACGCTGTCATAATATAGTTCTTGGCAGACAATACATATGACGTCACAGTTCGGCAATACACAGGAAGTGCGCGAGCAACTTTCTTATTTACTTACTAGCTTTCACACGCGACTCCGTCGGTGCGGAATTATAAAAACATATGCATCACTGTTAACACGCAATAATTTTCATTCTATAATATGTATTCCCATAGTTATACTGGTACACTAGGAAACTCGATCTGAACAATTATGTTTCATTTTGGTTCGGATTAAATAAAATAAAAAAAGCATGGCCTATATTACTCACCGATAACGTAGATTTTTAATGGTGAAATCGGCCCAGTAGTTTTTGAGTTATTTCAATATATACAAAAATACAAATCCTTCCTCTTTATAACATTAGTATAAAAGCATAGATAATTCAAATATAGAAGAGATTGTCAATTCAACTTTACGTTTTTATTTTAATTTATTTGATGACTGCGGCATTATTTTACTTTTATATTCCGTGACATATCTAGAATGCATGATCTTTGATTTACTTCAGTAATAAAATCTCATGAAGGTAATGAAGTCGGGTTCATCGAGACGTATAGAAACGGCTGGATATCGATAACTTCACGTCAGCATTCCTGATCCTATCTAGTAATTACGACTAAGGGGATTAGCAGTTAGAATATCTGTTCTGTTTAATACATAGTAGCTAATCCGATATTTTTAACTCGATGATTTATCGACTACCATGCGTAGTAGACCCCGCGGAGACAGACCCTCGTCTGCGATATTGGTATATATTGGTAGGTAATGATTAAGAATTTAAAAAAAAATCTTAATCATTACCCTACGTTCTTCAAGACTATGTTCTATATCTATGCCTTTCATCCGAGATCTGAAAGCAGTTTAGGCTACAATCTAAGAAACATCCATCCTTATAAACTTTCGTATTTATATGTAAGAAATAAGATTTCAAATGAGAGTTTTTTTATTTAATTTTTCATTCAGAAAAACTCTTTTAAAAGACGTAAACATTTTTTTTATTGATTTAAGTACTGTGCTTGTTGTTCAAATTCAATTTCCGTCAGCATACAAATTTATACAGAGGGCGATGCGGGCATGAAATTATAAACACAATGAATTACCTGTCATATTCAACTTAGATTATTTAGCTATACGAATAGACCGGGCAACTGACGTGGAATTATTAACAGCTAGCTTTCGCCCGCGACGCCGCCCACATGAAAATAAATAATATAAAACATAGCCTATGTTACTCACTGACAATGTAGCTTTTTATTGGTGAAAGAATTTTTGAAATCGGCTCAGTAGTTTTTGAGTTATTTCATTACAATCAAACAAACTAATTTTTCCTCTTTATAATAATAGTATAAAGCGCACTATATTAAACTAGTCGATAAACAATTGAAAGTCAATTAAAAACAACACGACTCATATATTACCTTGTTTAAATCGTTTTATAGTAAAGAATTTTATTTATTTGCCATAAAAAAGAACAGTGTTATCTAATGTCGCATCGAGAGAAATAAACCAAACGCCGTATCGATAATTCAAATACTTACATATACTTTATCTTTAGTACTCGTGTAACCAGAAATTGTTAAGAATGAATGTGGATGGTTACAAAGGGAGAGGAAGACCGAAGAAAGTATGGATGGATTGTGCGAAAGAGGATATGCTTAAGAAAGGAGTGCAGATATGACGGCTGATAGAGATGTATGGAAGAGCAGCACATACTGTGCCGACCCTCCGTAAGAAATAAGGGCAAGTTGATGATGATATATATTTGGTATATAAACTAAACGATATACATTATGTTCGTAACAACGATAGAAAATATGAGATTTTGTTAAACATTTAAAAAGTATATAACTTCAATTTAACTTATTTCCGCTAAGAACATTATTATCTAAGATTTGAAATAACTAAATTGGATTTATTCAAATAACTGTAAAAAAATTAAGCTAATTCATGTACAGAACCGACGATTTTGTTTCCTATATCTGTACACCCAATATATAATTTTAAAAGCATATTTATAATTTCACGATCACGTATCAAAATCATTAATCAAACATAGATATAAAAAAATGGCTTATTCATTTTGATTTATGAAATCAAAAAAAAATTTTCAATAATATTACGTAAAAATCAAATTTAATTTATTCCAAACGTTGACAAAACATTTTAAAGTTACTCTTATAGGAAACAGTTTGAATACTTACGAATGTCACATATCACAAACTACCGGAGAACATTGCTCGATCTTAATTTTTGTCAATTTCACAACACATCATTAATTTACATTTTGCGACGTTTGCTAAGTATTTAATCCTTACAAACATCCATCGTTATTTACCCCTTGATAACACAACGTACCGCTTTAAATCCAATTAATAATACAATCACGTTTATTCGAAAATTATGAAAATCGTACCCGCAGTCGAGATAACGTCGATCGCTTTCAAAGCTGAACCGCACGTGCTCACTCCACGACGGTCGGAGAAAGACTGAAGCGGCCATACCACTTTATACTCACACTCTATCTAAAATTCCGTAGCGTATTGTATTAAGCCTTTTTATTCGACGTCAATTGTTTTGCTTGCATTTTTTTAACTGGGCTGTTTTTAATATACGCAGCATCTAATTTTCAAGGTAGGACAGAATTATTTTTAGCGGATGGTAGCGTAGCATTGACGTAGTATCGTAGACGTTCTACGAAATGGTTCTACGATTTAGCCAAGGTTGCGGAAGTTTTCTCATATAGAGTGTTTATACTAATATAATTAAGCTGATAAAATTATTTGAACCTGATATTTTAGACTGTGCTATTTTTTTTGTTACATGTTTAAATAACGTTTTAGTATACAGCCGTAAAACATACAGGAATGCTATTTTGTACTATGTGTGGAATAACATGATATCTGTAGTAATATTATAAATCGGAAAGATATGTATTTCAAATAACAATAACTACTGGACCGATTTCATAAATTCTTTCACTATTAAAAAGCTATGTCACTGAGTAACAAAGTCTATATTTTTTGATTCCCCGGCGCCGATGTCGTGAGCAACATTTATTACGTTATAATTCGATGCGTTCTGTTTTATCAATATTGTATTCGTATTTGTTGTATAAGCCCATCACTATGATGTTATGATAATCAAGTTCTATCATTTTATATGATTACATGTTGCTTAGCAAAGAAATAATCACATATGACATCAAAAAGCTTTCTCCCCTAGTATTCATCTTATTGCATGTAATTTAGTTGAAAAGATAAAGCATTTAATGTCGTCCATTGTTAATTAATGCTATAACAGCTAGATCGCGGCGGCAGTTAACTAACTCTCAGACACAATAGAGCAGGGGTAGCGAATCACTGGCACGCGTTCCATAAATGGCACACGATACAATATTTTCAGCACGTCAATCATAAAATTACTACCAAAAAGTATTAAGTAGGTGTTATATAAAAAGCGAACGCGATGTCATTACCATGCACCATGTAATTGAAGTAATAATCAATCAAAATAATTTGTTGGCGCGTCTTATATCGCAATTAACATTACTTCAAAAAATGGCACTTCCCATAAAGGTTCGTCACCCCTGCAATAGGGTATTAAATCTTTACAAGCGAGTTGGCTATTAACCCTGGAACGCTTACCCGAAGGAAACACTCATTACCGATTAATGTTTATAGATTGTGAACTTGATAAATTGTACAAGTTTCTAGTAAGGATCTTAATAATTGAAAACTTTGTATAGATCGACAAGGATGACCAAACTTGACACTGGTCAAAAACCCTTAGTATACGTTCAAATTATGACAGTTATATTCCGCCACTAATTGATATTATGGACATCACCGTGATAGAAATGTTCATATTTATAAAATGAATAAAATGTAATAAAGACTTAATACAGGCACTTGCAGGTCGAATAGGTCGGCTCTCCCGGTGCAATACCACGATCACACAGAAGAAGGGTGTAAAGTGGAAGCAATTCAGCTTTTCGTCTGATGAGTGTGGTGCCGGAGGTCCAATTTTAGTCCCCTTATTTCCACCCTTTTCTTACAAGGAAAGGATTGTATGGGGAAATAGATTTGAATGCGAAATATCCTCTTTATGAGCGTGTCCTCCTCCCTCGATTAAAGGTAGACAACGCATCTGGAATTGCGAATGTCCATAGTTTAAGTTATCAGTGAGTAATATAGGCTAATTTATTTTATTAATCATTAATTTCACGCGGGCGAAGTCGCGAGCAACAACTAGTTGGATATAAAAAGTTAATTTACCTATTGTATATTTTAAAAGATTTAATTTGCGTTATGTTTTCCCTACTTTTATGTTTGATTCGCATTTTATTGAAGTCGATTTTACTACGTCTTGTTACGTGCATATCGGAGTAAAATTTATGTGGAAAACTTTTAGGATATACTGTTTCCAGTGAAATCAGACTTTGAAACTGATAACCGATATGTGATACTTACTTTTAAAGTCTTCTAGAAACGTCGAGAAAATTTATTTTGCTTTCCACTTAGAGTGCTCGCACACCTTTGATTAAACTGTCGCTCTCTGATTCCCATGAGCTTATGTGGAGGTGCGCACACTACGCGATTTTTAGTTGTACAAAAACACTTGAACTGGTTGTAAAACTCAATAGTTGTGCGATAGTTTAGTCAATGTGCGCACAATCTTATTGCCTAGTATAGATTTTCTAAAATTGGAAACATTTTATACATTGTACTAAATTCCGAATCAAAATATTCTTCCGCATTGTACAATTAAAGCCACTGCAAAACAATACGTACGAATGTATAACAATACGGAATTTCGCAAAATGTTGGCATAATTTTGACACTGCTAACGAAAAGACTAAATAAAAGCCTCTCACATTTTCCACGAAACAATTAGACCTGCGCTGTACACCGTTTAAATTCATCAAGTTATTTAACATAGTAAAAGAAATTGCACATTTAATTACGTGGTATTACATTTTATGTTGACTAACGCTGTACCAATATTTTGATATCTTTTTATTTTTATTTAAGGTTACTTTTCATTAAAATCATTAAAAAAATGATGGAAATATTTAAATAAATATGCCATCATTCAGTTACTCTTATTTAATGCTTTAGGATATCAATAATATTAAAATGTCATTTGAAGATTGTTCTTAAAATTTCATTTAATAGATAAATATTTATTTCATTGTTATAGATCAAAGAAATCAAAGAATGATTTGCAAATGTTTCAATTTAATGAATTCATTAAAATTTTATTGAAAACAAAATCTACCTCTAGTAAGAAGTATTTAAAGATTTACGGATGAGGTTATGCATATATTAATTATTAAAACCACAACATAACTGTTGAATCAAACGCTATACATAATTGCTCAAGAAATTTCGTAGTCGACAAGTTAAGAAAGTTTTCACCTCGGTTCGTGATTGCAAACTTTAGCAACAGTTTAACTCGGTTTCCGGCAACTCATTTAGTTTTCAAAACTGACCTGACGGAGTAAATAAACATTACTAATGAATATACCTAGAAAACATCACAACTTAGTATTAAGTGTATGTAATCTACATAAAGTCAACAATTTTATATAAGTTACACGTTAAGCTATTTAATTATCAACTCCACATATCAGGAATTATGAAATCTATTGATAGATTTTTTTTTATATAACATAAGGTGGCAAACGAGCAAGGGCCACTGGAATCCGCCAAAATGGCGAGGCGACCGCTGTACATAGACATCCGCAATTGCAGATGCGTTGCCTACCCTTATACGACGGAGGAGGAGACGCACATAAAGAGGATATTTCCCCTTCCTATGCATCTCCTCCACCGTCAAATCCACTTCTCCTTCCCAACCTCTCCTTATAAGAAAAGGATGGTTTTCTCTTTAGAGAAAGGGACTTAAATTAGGCCTCCGGCACCACACTCATCAGACGAAACACGGAATTGCTTTCATTTCACGCCTGTCTTCTGTGTGGTCGTGGTATTACACCGGACGTGCCGGCCTATTCGTGCTAAGATGTTAAAGCGGGCACTACCACTGTGATTTAAGGGATATAGTCAAGAAAAGCTAAGGCGTATTGCTTGTGTAAAAAAAAAGAAATGAAAAGATCAATCAACCTTTCTTTTCTTAGAGATGTACGTAATTTAGTTTTCGAGGGCCACTTGACCCTACTCACAATACTTTCTCTTTCATTACCACCCCAAAACAGAAGTAACATATAAATAGTTTAGTTTATTGCATTGTGAAGTAAAAAAAATGATTACATTTACAAATCACTATACTTTACTATAATTCTACCTGAAGTCAAGGATGACTAGGCTATAGTAAACCATTACTGAAATAAAGTCGATAATAAAAAAATTCAACATTCAAATGGAAGTCATCTACATTAATATTATAAAGACTAGCTGTTCCCATGCGACTTCATCCGCATGAAATTATTTCATTATTTACATTTGTCAAATTATCAATAGCAAATGTCAAAATGACATGACGATGAAAAACCATAGCAACCTTGCTTCCTTGATGTTGGCAGCAACTTTTGGTCTCTTTCCCACATAAGGGTTTTTATCCATAACGTTTACCCCTGAAGTTTAATGGCGTGAAAATACATAGCCTAAAGCGTGACGTAAGTGTAGGGCTTTTTATTAAAAAAATAATTATTTAAAAATGTGCTGTAATTGCTGTCAGCAGTCTTAGGCAACAAATAAATGTGGGTTTACGCTTTTTTATAATAGTATAGATGAAAGATTTTTGTATGTATTGAAATAACTCAAAAACTACTGGGTTTATTCCCAATATTCTATAACCATTAAAAGCTACGTTATCTATAACATTGGCTATATTTTATATTGTTTCCTTAATTTCACGCGGAAGAAGTCGCGAGCATCATCTAGCCTATACCAATATAATCATGAGAAAAGATTTGTATTTCTGTATGTATTGAAATAACTCAAAAACTACTGGGTTTATTTCAAAAATTCTTTCACAATTAAAAGCTACCTTATCTGTATCATATACCTTTTTAGTATTTCATTTAAATTCTCGCAGACGAAGTCGCGAAAAACAGCCAGTTAGTCATATAAGAGAGTAAACATTTTATAGCGAGTAGTTTCTTTCCTACGCATCTAAGAAATCTTATGCCGATAAAAATTTATTTGGCTATAAAAAGCAATGAGCAGATTTACTTCTGTAGCAAAATATTACTTGTATTAATCAAGTAGTGCTCTGAATATCAAATGTCATCTGCCAAATGGGTTTATTACAACTCGGCAGTATCTTACTGTAATGATTTTGTAACATTTTCCATTTTTGCGGTAAAATATTTACTTTTATACTGATAACAGGAGAGAATAACAGATTATTTTTAGTCAATTGTTTTAATAAGTTTTTATCATTTACTAATGGTTGTTGTAACCATTGTTAAGTAAAAAAAATTGTTAGTGTACATTTGTGTAAG